GTAATGTATAGACCATTTGAGTCATATGATCCAAATTTGCACAGAATCAATTTTTTTGACTCTTTTTACACACAGTATGAAAATGGATGAAATCGAATGATAACCCCGCCCACTCCCCATATAACTGTTTTGTTAAAAACTAGTAAAAGTGTGATAAATCAATAATTAAATGCGTCAGAGACATTAATATTTACATCCGGGATGGTACAGGGGGGTTCAATAGGAGTCGATGTCAAAATTGGACGATGGGCGTGGCACCATTTTAGGCCAACCTTAAAGTTAAATCCCATATCTCCGGAACTGCTGGACCAATTCTAACCAAATTTGGTATATGGGATTATTTTAACATTTCCATGTTACAACGTGATGAGCGAAATCCAAACTTTATATTCCATCTGATTTTCTCACATTCCAGTATACAAATCAAGCACTAATAAATATATTGGGATGCAAATTTGCTGGAATATTTCCTTTAAGGTATGACATCTCAGGTATAAAATTGTCAAAATCCCCAGACTCCAGAGCCTATGGCTGACTTGCCGAAAATATGGATCAATCTGTGAGATATATTATTGAAATTCGGGGAAAATGTTTTTTGTAGATAATAATATACCCTTGTGTCAAAAACTAGTTGAATCGGGTCAATATTTCTCTTAGCCCCCATATATCTAATAAACAAATTTTCGAGCTTCCAGTTGACTTTGTACCACATATATCGGCCAATGTGCTAGTTTTTTTTATGAAATTGAGAACTCGTGTTTTTTAATGACACTGTATCTTTGTGCTTAAAATGATTAAAATCGGGCGGAAACATGTCTTAGTCCCCATACAACTGATATTCACGATTTTAAAACGTCTGGCTGACTTCACTCCATATATTACATATGTATATGTATATATGTACATACGTACATTTTTATTTAATAGGCCCTTTCATTGCTATGCCCCCAATAATTATACTCTCGCAACCTGTTGTTACAGAGTACAATAGTTTTGTTCATCTAACGGTTGTTTGTATTACCTAAAACTAATTGAGTTAGATATAGGGTTATGTATATATAAATGATCAGGATGAAGAGACGAGTTGAAATCCGGGTGACTGTCTGTCCGTCTGTCCACCCGTCCGTGCAAGCTGTAAATTGAGTAAAAAATGAGATATCTTTATGAAACTTGGTACACATGTTTCTTGTTACCGTAAGACAATTGGTATTGCAGATGGGCGGAATCGGACCACTGCCACGCCCACAAAACGCCCATAATCAAAAACAAATAAATTTTCATAACTGCAGGCATCTGCAGTTTAAAATCTTTTTTTTAAAGTGGGCGTGATCCCGTCCCCTAATAGACCGCTAAAACTATAATAATTAAATTCTCTGAGAACAAATGCTTTTAGCACGTCTATCGACAGTGTGAAAATGGCTGAAATCGGATGACAACCCCGCCCACTCCCCATGTAACGGTACTGTTAAAATCTACTAAAAGCGCGATAAATCAAGCATTAAACACGCCAGAGACATTAAATATTATGGGCGTGGCACCGCCCACTTTTGGGTGGCAACCCATATCTTTGGATCTGCTAAACCGATTTCAACTAAATTCGGTACATAACATTCTTCTCATATTTCTATGTTATAGTACGAAAATGGGTGAAATCGGATTACAACCACGCCTGTTTCCCATATAACACCATTTTAAATTTCATCTGATTTTTTTACTTTCCCTATGCAAATCAAGCAACAATGATTATATCGGGGTAAATTTTTGCGTGAATAATGCGCTTTAAGGGTGCCATCTTATGACCAAAAATTGTTTAAATCGAACCAAAACTGTTCAACTGTCATCGGTCAATGTGTAAGACATATAATTAAAACTCATATAATAAAATAAAGAAATGAAACTCTCGATAATAGTATGTCTGGGTCAAAAATTAGTTGAATCGGGTCAATACTTCCTTTAATATAAAATTTTGCCAACAGCCAAAGTTATTTCCCCGGCTTTGATCCTTACAAGTTGTAAGAGTATAAAATGTTCGGTTACACCCGAACTTAGCGCTTCCTTACTTGTTATATTTGCGAAATATACGAGAATATCTAGTGCTTTAAAATTTGAAAGTCTTTCTCGATAGGCAACATGACAACTTCTTCGCTTATCGCGACTATTGTGTGTATTTTATGAGGAAGCGTTTAAGTGTTGAGTACTGAAGCAGGTGGAATTGAAGAGAGTTCGGCTTATGTCGAATATTTCGCACCAGCGTTCATATATTTTAGTGTTAATCGCCTTTATTAAAAATATATGTACGTATTTAAGATTCTCTACACTACTTATTAGTTCTCATTTGTTTATTGCAGTACATACATATAAATGATCCAATAGATTCTAAATAAAATGCATTATCTAAATATTAGGTTTCTGTACGTTAAGTTTTCGTTCTTTTTTACGATTTTCTTTGGATTGTTTCATCAAATGTTTTTTTTTTATTTTTTAAAATACCGCATAAGGCAATGTATATGTATGTACATATGTAAATTTAATGTATAGTTAGTAAATAATCCATTTAATAATTTTGAAGTGTTTATATATGTACAAATGTGTCATCCCTTCTCAATATAATATTAAGTACTAACTTATTGGTTTGATAAATAGTTTTTAATCTTTTTTTGAACACCCGTAATCATTCAGTAATTGAGTGTACTGTTCTTCTAGAAATTTCGCTATCTTTTCATTATATATCTTCTTTACGTTATGTTTTTCATTTATTTTGCTTAACTAATAATTCGATATGCAAATAATAATTTGACATATAATTAATGCTGAAAATATATTTTTTTTTAATTTCCTTATTTTTCTCAACAAAAATACAAAAAATCCATAATATTATTATGAAAACCAATGTGTAAGTAAAATGAAAATAAAATTTATTTTTCTTCACACGAATCAATACCAAATCTCTTCAGCTTATATAAAACTCACCAGTCACTTAATCAAAAACTCAAATAATATGTAAACACCCAACTCCATTTAGTGCAAATTTATTTTCTTAAAAAAATGTAATGTTTATAAGTCATGTTTTTAACAAGTTTCCCATGCATAATAAATCATATATTATCAAATCATTATCTAACTGCACTAATAAATATTTTTCTAATGTGTGAGTAGTGGGCCGAAAAGTTGCACCCAAAAATTAATGACTAAAGCCTCATTCTTTATTTTATAAAACACAACCTCTTTAACAAATAATTTTAGACAAGTCAACATAACATGAATCTTTGGCCTTCTTTCTCTTAAGATATACTACCTATAATATAATGATTTCACCTTTACGTTCTATATTTAGCCGTCGTCGACAGAGCAACAAAGCAATATCATGCATAGTCGCACATCTGAGGCATTTCGGGTTATAGTATATCATTTAAATTCAATAGAGTACTTAATTTGAATACCCAATATATTTCTATTAATAGGAATGTAAATAAATTGCTCAAAAATGCATGTTTAATGACAAATTCTATTTGTCTTTTCTATTTATTTAAACATCAATGCAATTATGATTATAGTCGTTATTGAATCGATTAGGAGGCTGTGTGAAGGGCTCATTATTCCTTCAATGATTGGAATATTTAGGAGATGAATTTTTATTGCATTTTTTTTATTAACCTGTTCATTCTAGGCGGGAACTCAGTGCAGATTAAATGTAACATCTAAAAAATAGTAATTTACATTTTCAAACTAATGCAATCTTTTCCAACACCATTTAATGCAAAATATGCACAGCTAAATTCCATTCGGTAATATCAATAAAATAATAAGCAGAGCAGCTTAAATCAGAAGTCTACACATTTACTCTCATACAAACACTGTCACCAGTTTGACTTAAGTTCAAGTTCATTTACTGTTTAACCCTTTCATGTGTTAATTTTTATTTTAGCTATGCAAAAATACTATAGTATACTCGTACAAATATTTAGCTGCTTTTAATGTAAGCTATTTGTCATTTATCCACTTAGCTTGCGAACGCTATGCAAACACATATATACTCATAACTATTTAAAAAGTATTTTCATTAAGAAATTACGAATAGGTCTTTGAAAAACATTGGTTGTAGAGCCCAAAAAGGAGTTATCAAGAATTCAGTATACCAAAAGAAGCATCACTTTCACATAATTGATTCTATAAACAACAACAAGATACGAAGTTGTAGGGAAACTGTAATTAATCTTATATCAGGGAAAACCTTAATAGATAAATATCCCATATTTCGCTTTAATCGCAGCCAATATAACTCCATACAGAATTATAAATTAATAGTGTTTAAAAATGGATGGTTGTGACCCTTTGACATCAACGGAAATTCTAATAGCCTCTAATCGTAGCAACAAAAGGTGACCAATTCAAAAATTCTAAAACAATTGTTAATTGGATTACCAACCTCATATCGATTACACTGTGAACGGTGTCCCTGCCTTTGTTATCTGACTACATTTATCATACTGGGAGCTGTTCATCTTTGATCGAAATACATCAGTAAGCAATACTAAATTAGCTTCAAGCAATCTATTCAGAAAGATTTCCGAAAGAGCTCTCTCTTTTAAAATAGCATAATATTTTAAGACTATATGTGGCACCTAACACACTTTGCATTGTTGCCTGGAAATAACTTGGGCCATGCACTTTACATATCAGAATTAAAGCTCCTTCGTAAAGTTTCTGTCAATGGCTGGTTACCTACAAACATTTATAAATACATATAGATAATACATAGTAAATATGCAGATGCTTATGAATTTTTAATCTATTTTTGAAGTACGATGTATATTTTTGCTAAAAAAAGTCATGATTCTACATTTTTTATCTAAGTACATATATATTTACATGTATCCATTACAAATGATCATTCCCTTTCGATGTAATATGTGATTTAAACAATTCAAGGATTTTACTAATTCAAACGTTTTTTGCAACTCCGACAACAGGATATCTAAAATCACGCCCTAAACCTCAAGGCAGTTGTACGGGCTTTTGGCGGGCTGAAAAGCGCTTCCGCTTCTGGATACGACACACTGTGAAAACACAATGGTTCTATTGGTTTGTCATCGTACTCGTATTCCTGAACACTATGTGCGTCGCAGTAGAGCACTATGATCAACCACAATTTTTAACAGATTTTTTATGTAAGTAATTACGAAAGTTTCCGTCACTCTAGATTATTTTCTCTGGGGGTATGTTGAATCGAAAGTTTTCGCCAATCGACCAGGAACGCTCGAGGAGCTCGAAGACAACATTCAGCGCACTATGGTATATCCGAAAGTATAGCCTAAATGCACATTTTGTTCAAATCATAAGTGGCATAAAAAAAAAACACAACCAATTTTTTTGAGTGTCATTTTTCATTTTAACATCACGCCATTTTTTTTGGTAGACCCTTTACATATAACGATAAAATGGCGTAGAATTATGTTTATCACAAGCTCAGTTTGAGTTGTCAAATAATTTTTCGTAAACGGTTGGGCGGACAGACTAATTTTGTAACAAAAGCAAACAATGAAATTTTTAACCTTATACACCCATCAGTTGATGGGATAATTATATATATTTCATTTTATAAAACTACGTTGCAAATATTATACATATATATTATATATAAATATTCATTATTTTCTCTCTAATTTCAGATTACGCTGAATATGTGTTTTTGGGTCTATTCATGTCGGAGATGTTCATCAAAATGTATGCGCTTGGACCGCGCACCTATTTCGAATCGTCGTTTAATCGATTCGATTGTGTCGTCATTAGTGGTTCGATATTCGAAGTTATATGGTCCGAAGTGAAAAGCGGTTCATTCGGTTTATCCGTATTGCGAGCGCTACGTTTACTTCGTATCTTCAAAGTGACCAAATATTGGTCGTCCTTGCGAAATCTTGTGATTTCGTTGTTGAACTCGATGAGATCCATCATTTCACTATTGTTCCTGCTCTTCTTATTCATTCTAATATTTGCACTACTTGGCATGCAATTGTTTGGCGGGCAATTTAGTTTTAAAAGCGGTACCCCCGAAACGAATTTCAACACATTCCCCATAGCCTTACTTACAGTCTTTCAAATTCTAACCGGTGAAGATTGGAATGAAGTCATGTATCAGGGAATTAAATCACAAGGTGGCTATAAAAAAGGAATGATTTATTCTGTGTAAGTTGTTCCTGCAGACGACTAGTAGTAAAACCTCGTATACTCGTTCATTAGTTACGTTTTCTTCATTTTTCGTTTTATCCAAATTCAACCTTTACCTTCAATTGCTGGCTATTCTAATCCTTTATCTTACTATTGAGGATTACGAGATTGCAGAAGAGAAAGTTTTCAGTTATCATTCATATATTCGTTTTATATGTATCCATATGTTTTAATATTTATTTGCAATTTTTCTAAACTTGTCTGCATTTGACTATAAGCTATCCAATTAATTTCGATCTAAGCTCACTGCAAATTTTGTAAATTAATTTTCACCTGTGTCTCTTTTGAAATTTTTTTTTTACATTTGACTTAATCTAGACAAATTGAAGTAATCTATGGTGATTCTGATTATCAATTTAAAACTCTAATTAGAATATAATCCTTGAAAAGTTTAATTAAATTGGGTTCTCTAATAGATTGAACATATTCCAGTTTTTTTGGTAGGTATTAGTTCAGTCTCCCGAATATACACAAATACGCAAACGTATTCACTAATACTTCATTGTATTACTAAATGTTAGTTTATAAGGAAGTGTTAGTCAATACCGAATGAAATGATATTTATCAATACGGTGGGATATCGAGCTTTCAAAATTATTATTGCTACGCAAAACGAAAAACTGTACCGATAAAAGAAGAAAAAAATAAAAAGTCCAATAATAATATCCGAAAAATCGCTCAGGTAAAAACGTTACTATATTTATATCATATGCCAATCATTCTGTAAGGAAAACTATATCTCGTGCTTAAGAGATAAGTAAGAGAATTTGTAATTGCACATGTGTTGTAAGCACTGTTGTTTTTGTCGCCCGTTATTGAACGTCGAACCATTAATGTGTACAATCACTATAAGCTGAACGACAGCTTTAAAAGATGGGCTATAATCACCTGTGTATGTATAATGCGCTGAATTTTCGAAAGTTTGTACAAGATTGCAATTTTCAAAACTGCAATGTTTGTAGAAACATTCACAAAATTCACCCCACAAAGGAGTAAATACCAAAGAAAATTTTTTTTGACTAGAAGTAGACTTCATCGCACTTTTTTAATTTCTTTAAAAAATCGGTAGTAACAGTTGAAAAACAAAACTGAGAATAAGAGGCTACTTTATTGTTCGTAAAAGCATGCTCAAAATGGCTTATATTTAACCAAAACAAATAAATATATATTTGTATAATTTTAAGTCACATATCATGCACCATTTGCATCGCGATGCAAAACTTTGGTATTGATAGAATTATTAAAGGACGTTACGACCAATGGATTGAAGAGTATATGTTTCATGGAGTCTAAATCACCTATGGTATACCGAATTTTCCAGAAAAATATCAAATATCTTTTTGAAATAATCAATTATATCATAGTTAAAAAAAAACCACACGAAATAGCCAAAACAAATAATTCTGAATTCTAAGTTTGGAAATTAACACCTTTTGTTAGTTTCGCTAAGTATTTCAAGTATATGCTTATTTAATTTAAACAATACCTTATTTTTAATGGCCATACCCAAAATTGTAGGTATGATTTGGAAGGTCGTACTCCAGAAATAATATCCTAATTCTTAGCCAGTCAAACGGTCAATATTTTTCGAAAAGTATCTAAGTTTCGACATTGTCGGTGCTCACAAATTTGAATATTTGCCAGGCTATTCCAAGATTTAGACTTTAGTTTCAAAGGATAAAGTATTTTGCCTAAATTTATTTGACATTACAGCTACTTACTTTTACTTTTAAACAGATACAGCCAAAAACTTTACGCGCATAACAAATTTCATACAGCTACTAGCCAAATACTTATAAGTCCATCAGTGCGCTGGCGAATTGCGAATAACATAAGTAAATTTCTATTTTTAGATTTATTTTGCGTAAAGAAAATAATAGCTGGATTCTCGATTGCAACAACTAAACAAACTACAGAAATTGGAATTTTCAATTATAATTTTTCTATTCTAATTCTAATAACGGAGGGTTGTGATTTGTGAACGTAAACTTAATGACCATGAATTCGATTCGCCAAGAGTAGTGAATGGTACAAACTATACCAAATGAAACAGCAATAGCCTCTTGTAGACGATTTTGGGGTTTGAGCGACAATATTCATATCAGACCAAGAAAATGTTTGTACATTTGAAATAAATGCTAAAGTGTGTGTAGTTTACTCTGGTTGATATTGAGCATGCTATTACGACGGAAGCGAAAATATACTAAGCCTATTAAATAAATTTCTCTGCACTATTTAAAATTACTCACTAAAATATATCACCATATTAACGCCTTTTCATAACTACCTATAAGCTATGCATACGGCAATTGCTTTCCTTTATTTGCTTATGACATTTTAGTTGCACAGATTTTTTAATGCTCTCTGAACTAACGAACATTTATATACAATATTTATGTCTAAAGAAGTTTAAATATATTTTTCAAAAAAAAAATTTATCTATTGTGCTCAAAATGTCAGCTTTCACACAATTCTATTTCATAGGTCCAAACAAGATGCTTCGAATAAGAACATGTGGACTGTGGATATAGCACTTTTTATCTCCCCATTTAATGTTTCTAATTAATTGTAAGTAGATTTAATAATTAAGAAACAATCTTGAAAAAAATTCACAGCTGACAGATAATTGCCTCGTGAGATAAAACAATCTGAGAGACGCAAGTTTCGGTAATGAACGGAATAGAAAGCATTCCGTATTTTAGTGAATCACTATGTTTGGCGAAAAAATAAATTCCTTAGTGTACAGCCAAACGAGGTAAAAACGAAAACATCGAATAAGTCCACAAAATTATCTTGGATGATCGTGAAATGAGGTTAATCGAGACAGGTGAAACTCTTATGATATTGAGGCATCTGCTAGACATACATATATGGTATGTAATTCAGGAAAATGTATGTACGCAATAGCTCTACACAAAGTGGGCCGCGCAAACTCACTATTGTGTTACACTTCTACGCCAACGACAAAAACTGTTGTTTTTCTACATAGCGATGTTTTTATATGTAATATCAGAATTTCGGTCAAAAATTTACCACTCCCATATTAGTCAAAAATATATCAAGTCAAATCAATTTTATACAAATATAAAATTACAGTTATTAATTAGTTTAGCTGTTCCAACTCCACTTAGATAATTAGATATGTGTAGCTCAATATGCCGTTAGAAATGATAATCGATCAGCCTTGGCTTTGAAGAACTTGTCTGAAGACCAAGATAACCTCATTGCCTTCTCGGTTACGTTGATAAATAATGAAGAATTGTGTGAACGCTGGCATATTTCACTTGCATATTATATAATATTATATATGTTTACAATAAGAAAAAAAAATGTAATGATAAAAATATAATACATGTGATTAAAAATTTTATTTATAAACTTCGAACAACACGCCGAGTTCATTATAACTAAAAGTATGTTTAAATATTTAATATCCAAATGAAATTATTTAAAATGACTTAAAGTGTCAGGAAGATTTGTGAACGAAATATATTTTCATCTGAGTGCATTGCACATTCATAAAATTATAAATAGTATTGCTATCAAATGAAATTATATGAGGGATTTTAATCGAGTTCCTACGAAAGCTCAATGTAAGCACTTTGTATGTAATTTGTATATGCGCTTTAAATAATCTTTGTTTTTATTTTTTCTTCGTGCTAGCACCAACGAAGCTTTGCTTAATTTACATTTGTAAGCTTCCTTTCTCCAACATCTAACATCATACTTGTTTATTACTTTGCAAAGTGTAAAAATACATACCTATATATGGCTTGTACGAATACTTTTATGTATATTTGAGCTATAATATTGTAAAAACTAAATTAAGGAACTAACAAAATAAATACGAAGAAAACGTCTTCAGTGATGTAAAGAACAGGAATTTTGGCGTGTTTAACGTTAACGAACAAAGGAGAGTACTCACTGTCACATACTAACCATATGATATGAGCCGAGTTTTGGGGCAGCAGCAAACACGATTTTGATAAGTTTAATTTAAATAAAAACGAATTTTGGATAACTTCCAGTTTTGAATTTCCAAGTTTTCCAGCTTAAGCAGAGAAAGTAGAATTAATAAACGCCCATTCACATATAACTTTCCTCTCTTTACGTGACAGTTCACACTGAAACAACGAAGCGCAGAAAACAATGGGGATGGCACAATGAAAGCCTTGCTTTGAGTTTTTTTCTCTAATAATGGCGACGATTGCTTGGCAAAGAGTAAAAAGTTGAGGGTTGCCCAACTTTTTGCTTGGCTTCGCGCCGAAAACTTTTTATGTGAACATATCGAACTCATACAAAAGCGTAAATTTAACTTTCCTGTCCAAACAAATGTCTGACGCAAAGCAAAGCAAAAGTTCTATGTGAACTGGCCATAAGACTGCTTGCTTTACCTCTTGCACTACTCAAGAATGATAGATATGGCAATTGCGTAAATTTATCCCCTTAACTTTTCTTGAAATGCCTTTGTCGTCATAATCGAAGGAAGGGGAAATCTGCCGCTACAACAACAGCAAGAAGGAAGGGGAAAATCTTTGTTTACAATTACTTTGAATGTTTGACAGTTCTTCTTGTTTAGGACGTAGGGTAATCTTTATTCCTTAATTTTTGATACTCTTTGCAAAAGTTTGGCTTAGAGACAATTCTTGTTATAATCCAGTTTTGCTGCTGCACCAATATACATATGGTATCATACCTATTAATTTTCTCATAATATTTATCATGCATTTTAAAAGTTTACACCAAGTACATTACATTAATTACACAATAGCTCATTAAACTATTCATAAACTTTTTACTTTTACTCAACCCTCTGCACATTTACAATACATCACACTTTAATAATCTCTTGGTTAGTTATCGAAATAACGAATTCTTTATTTATTTTAAATAATTTAGTGGAAATATTTATATATATAATATATTATTTATAAAATACTTATACAAGTAGAAAATTAATGACCACAGTTTCTACATTTCAACTATATTTTCTACGCTTTTTACGCTGACTTGTACCTTACTGTACGCGACATTTTTAAAATCTACACATTTGTTAAAGTTATGAATGTGGCAATACTACATTTTAAATTATATATTCTTTCTGAATCGCTGCAGATACTTTATCGTTTTGGTACTCTTCGGTAATTATACACTGTTAAACGTATTCTTGGCTATCGCTGTCGATAATTTAGCGAATGCCCAAGAATTGACAGCTGCCGAAGAGGAGCAAGTCGAGGAAGATAAGGAGAAGCAATTGCAGGAGCTTGAAAAAGAAATGGAGGCGCTTCAAGCAGACGGTGTTCACGGGGAGAACGGTGACGGGGCAAGCTTACCGAATAAGGCAAAAAGTAAAAAGAAAGAAGAGGAAAAGAAGGAGGAAGAGGAAGTGACGGAGGGTCCGAAACCAATGTTGCCATATTCATCTATGTTTATACTATCACCAACGAACCCGTAATTACATGTTTTAGTTAAATGTTTGTGTGAAAGTGAATGCGTGAGTGTAGAATACTTAGATTCTGGGCGGGTAGGCACATCATGCCTATGGAAATAGCAGTTTGAAAGAGGTGTTGTTATTGTATTTTGGAGAGCGAAGCAAATTTATTAAATAAGTGTTAGTAGTAAGTATAGTTAAGTTACTTTTATAAGACAATTTTATTATTATTACTTACATATAAAAGTATATATTATTTTATTCAAAGTCGCTATTTTATTTAAATTTTATTTAAGCTATATTGTCTGAAAAACCATTATTTACTTATCAACAACAGGGCTATCGACAGCCTCACCTGGCCCTAAGGTATGAGTTTCCACTCTTAAGCTCATATTTTTAATTATTTATACTGGCCTTGTAAAATATTTATTGTCCAAATCAAAAATAAATTACGCTTCGAACCTTTGAATATATATTGACAACGACGAATATAATCCATGTATCAATATTGCAATCGGCTATAAGCAAAATATATAATAATATATATATTAATAATCAAACTTATTGGCCAGCTGTTGTGGAAGAAGTGAAAGACATTGCTATTATAAACTTGTAAAAATTCTTAAACAATTTTAAAGCTGGTGCATATTAACAGCTCTCACAGGAGTGAATCATCCGCCCTCTGGGCGGATCGTTTGAAAGTATGTCAGCTCACTCTCCAACGGTATTTTTTTCTAAATTTTTCTCAACATCTAAACTTATGGAAAAATACCCTGACCAAACTCTAGGCAGTCATTCAGAAAAACTTTTGTGTGGTGTACTTCTCGTTTCTACGAATTGAAAAAAAGAAACAAAGAAAACAGTACGAAAAAATGCCATACATTTGGATAAACTCAAAATTAAAGCGGGTAATACATTTTTTTCAGAATTTCTCTTTTATTAATGAGTTTTTAGCTAGTAAGTGGTGCAAAATTACATAAAAGTTATTATTTTAATACATTTTTCTGAAAATATTTAAAAAATTTACCATATATTATATACATACATACGTAAAATATAATAGGGTAATTAAGAATACAATAATACACAATATTATCATAAGCATTAAAATTAATTAATAATTTTATGTAACTCTCTACTCTATTTCAATATGTAATATTTTTCTATGTGTCTTTACATATGCCCACACTAATAACTGACTAAATAATATTGACTCATGAACTTTTCTCTTACATTTTTCCTTTTATCGTTTCATTAAATTCCGCAAACGTTTTGATTTTCATTTTGTATTATCAAACGCCATCATTTGCATTGCAAATCGCTTCCATTACATTAATCACCACCATCTATCCATATGCTCAACAAACAAACTACCAACAAACGCTGAAAATATATCACCAATACCAAAAACTACCGAATACCTCACTGCACCTCCTTAACGCTGCGCACTGCAAAACAAATTTAACGCAAATTCGGAAACTGCACAAAATGCATCAAAATCTTGAAAATGTGGATTCAACAAAATTATGCAAACTAATATAAAACGATTTGATCAAAATTAAACAAACAACTAATGAACTGTTGACCTACAAACGAACAAAATACCTTAAAAAAAAAAAAAAAAAATCGCAACAAAAAACATACATGAAACCGAAAACATTTGGGAAATGGATTTTAAAAATAAATGAATTTTGGAAAATTGCGCCAATTAGTATACGCCGCGGCGCACATTGGGTTGTTAATTTGCGATATTTTGATTTTTTCATAATGATCGTCATCTCATTGTCATCGATAGCGTTAGCAGCCGAAGATCCTGTTCGTGAGCATTCGTCACGAAACGAAATCTTAAATTATTTCGATTATGCATTTACCGGCGTATTCACAATAGAAATGTTACTAAAAATTGTAGATTTAGGCGTTATATTACATCCAGGCAGCTATTTAAGAGAATTCTGGAATATTATGGATGCTGTGGTCGTTGTATGCGCTGCTGTTAGTTTCGGTTTCGATATGAGCGGTAGCAGCGCTGGACAAAATTTATCAACCATCAAATCGTTGCGCGTACTGCGCGTCCTGCGACCATTGAAAACCATCAAGCGTGTACCAAAATTGAAAGCCGTCTTCGACTGCGTAGTGAATTCATTGAAAAATGTTGTTAACATTCTAATCGTGTACATATTATTTCAATTTATATTTTCCGTAATTGGTGTACAATTGTTCAATGGAAAATTTTTTTATTGTACGGACGAAAGTAAACATTCTTCCGAAGAGTGCCAGTAAGTAAAACAAACTCTATATTTTTTTTCAATTTTATTAATTTTTTTTTTTTAATTTTTAGTTAAAAACTTCACTTTCCTTATACTGAACAACTTATCTGTTTTATTACAATTTTTAGACGTTTATATTTTTTAAGTATAGTGTTACAGTCGATGTAGATTCCATTATAATGTGCGTACAAATGTTCTTAATGTTTCCGCATACTTAAAGAGAAATATACTATTCATTCATTTTAGTACAATACAAATATATATGTACATATATGTTTTCTGTAATATTTCTACAACCAGTCATACTGACATGAATATACATACATACTTATATAAATGTTGACCTACACAAAGTTATACTCGTGCATATGCCCCTTTCAATGATATATTTTCCCCTATATATACTTTAGATAATATATTAAATAGAACAATATATTATATTTAGTTTCCAGCTTTTTCTATTAATCCTCTATTGTTTTCAGTCTTTGAATTGAATATGTATGTAGTTTTCATGTTTTAATTTAACAAAAAGCTAGAACCATCTAGTCAGTGAAATTATTGTAGAAAACTTGTTTAGCTCTGTTTTTTGGATACGAACTATTTATGATAAAAATGATATGCGATATGAATGCGTTACCTTAGAACGCATCGCTGGATATTTCTATACTTAACTGTAAACCGTTGCGTTCAATTTTTACTTCCACCGACATATTTAATTGGTTTTCAAAAACTACATTTTACTTTTATTACGTTGCTAATACCCTTACTGAAACTTTGTATACCATATTCAATATATACTTTATATATGTCTTGGAATTAATTTTAGTGAGTTCGAATAGTTTTCGAAGATTGCTTAAACGTTATAATTGCTAAATATATCGTTAGATCTAGTACTCACCAACGAATGATACAATCTTCATCATAATTTGAAAGTATTTGTCATGGAATTTTCGAAAAATTCGTTTTGCATTGACTCAATCCAAAAAGCCAGAAAACTGTATACAAATTAACATGTTTAAAGATCAGCTCTATGGTACGCTCTTACCTTAACCTAAAGTAGAGTGGCAACATTACATGACTATCGAAAACTTCTCAAGTTCACCAAACTATGATGTGAATTGTAGAAAGGTGGTGACCAACTTCTCAACATGAAATATAAGCGATGTTACCAGTACGATGGAACTTACCAAACCAGTAGTTGAGCGTTGAATAAAATGGGACAGATTTCCCATTTGGAAATAATGTGTTATCAAAACACGAAATATACTCGCAGAGATAGCATCACTTTAAGCTATTGATCGCTTGAAAATGGTTTGATGAAATGACCTTGAAAGTAATCCTCAGCTAGGTCAAATACTTACAGCCGATAAAGATGTATAAACAAGTTTTTTAAAGGCTGATCAATAAGTGTGTCTACATTTGAGATATCTATCAGCAAAACACGTATGTGATATATGAATTTCAATTAATTATTAGATAGATTTGCATACGGGTGTTGATCCATTGTAAAACTGTTGAACTATTTTTGTAAACATTCATGGCAGTTACAGAAACCTTGCATACGGTATATGTAGTAGGGTATTTTACCCTTTCTTTCTATATTTTAGAAAAAAGAATCCCATATTTTAAATAAGATCTGTATGTTGAGGCATATCGAGCTATTTAAATATGCAATTAAATAATTGCGAAAAGGTATTTGTGTTGTACCGAAAAAAATAGGGTTGCCTAATAATTTACGAAATTGGATTGAATCAATGCAATACTACTTTCTAATACTGTTCTTGATACCTCCCCTGTTCGATCGTTTTAGGGCCTTGACATACATTATGTATATTTAGAGATAAGTACCAGGCTAAGTACGCAGTTATCAATACTTTATTATAAAATATTACGAGAATCGATAAAAGGCTTATACAAGTTAGTAACAAATAAAGGTTTGGAAGTAAATTTAATAAAATACGATAACCCAGGCAGAGTTTGGTCAACAGGCATATTATCATATATTTAGTACAGGGCATACCTTCCAAACAGATACCGAACCACAAAACATGGAGAAATGGCATACATGCACTAGGGAAGCAAACACTGTACAAACCAATATAAGCATACAATTAGCACTGAATTTCCAAAATGTGCAATAACCGTTAAAATTTCCCACATTATACCGGAATAAGGAGTGAAGGAGAACGGCGTAAAAAGAGCCAACCTTTGTGACCACGATTGGCACGAAGAGAGCAATTTTGGAACTTTTATATTTCCCCTGAATTCACTTAATCCAGTATCAATATTTTTTAATATAACTTTTACCACATTTTTTATAATAAAGCGTGCACAGATTAAACAGAATGTAAGAGTAGCATTTTAAAGTTTCCCGCCTTGTTTGTTTGTTTGATTGTACGCCTACCGAACGTAGCACAATCACAGAAGCAAAGAAGTGCAAAAGCCGAGATAAAAGAGACAAAGCAGAAAATCAAATGAAATATATACGAGAGGAAATTGAAAAGAAAATCGAAAAAAGGGGTTGCCCCAACAGAAGTTGTTTCAATAACTACTCATAAATGTTTACCACACCTCACGCGATTCAAATCAAACAAAATTCAAAAGTAAAGTCGAAGATTGCGTCATACATAAATATTTAATACATACATAATTGCATAAATTTTTTCTTATATCCGAATGTGTAACTTTTGATTATTTCTTTGCATTTTGTTATGGAAAATGGTATAATTGAAAGAAAACTTAAAACAGACAGGAAACGATGAAACGAAAGCAGATGGAAAAGTGCAAGAATTCATTTTATTAAATTGGTCAACTCAACTTTTAACCAAAGAGTCCATATTACTGCCAGAAGATTTCTTAATAAGCTTTAATATTATTATTGTTGTAGCACGCGCTTAACAAGAACTCACAGCAAAGCAAAATGAAACACACGCTCGAACACGCATACACTTTTAATACAATGAACACATGTTTGCAATAAACCAATAAGCTAATGAACAAACCAAAAATCAGGACTTAACTTTAGGCTTCAATTTAATTCAACGCTTATAATCTGATTTCTCAAAGAATTTGGTTATACACCCACTCACTAATAAAGCATTGATAAACGTACAGGATCCAGTTAAAAAAAAAAAAACTGAGAAAAAATAATAATATTAGCAAAAAAAATATTATCTCAAGCCTAAAAGCTTTTTATTGTTCGTAGTCCCATGCAGTAGCCAGTTCATTTCCGTTGAGTTCACGTTCAATTTGGAAAAAAATGTATCCCTTTTAATTGACATATTTTGGATATACATACATAACTCTAACCTGTTAATTTTTTTTAAATTTCTAAATCGTGTGTTCCTCAATTGTTCCCATACATACATTTACACACCGTTCCCGTATTTTAACTTTCTTTTGTGTTATTGTTGTTAATCTTACATACACTCGCTCAAATATAAAACACAAAGAATTTTCATATCTTGTTGTTTTAACTGTTTGCCTTCGTGTGCAATGAACTTTCAAAAGAAAAGTATATTTTTACGTTTCTACGTCTGTGTGTGTTTGTAGCCGACATCGCCGCTCTACCACAACAGTATAAACAGCTTGATTATAATGTAGTTCAAACAACCTCAAAAGCTTTTTATAAAAAATATACTTTTCAAATATTTAATAGAGTTATTCGAAAAGTTAAAAATAAATAACTATATTTAAAATAGGGAAATTTCCATTAACTCGTCTCAATTGTAAATAATTTCCAAATGTTTATAAAATAAATAGCTTTTTAACATTTTAATTTCACAATATTTTTCTTATTTTTAGACGGTTAGGAAGCTAGCGTTTCAGAGAGATCTATAAATTAGAATATTTGTAAATACTCGTACATAGAAACTTTTTTCTATCTAGAAATAACTTTCCTTTATGCGTAGGTTCGAAGTCTCTTTTTGTTGGGTACACTTGTAAATAATGTAATGTACAAAAGAAAACAAATTTTTGTTAGTTCTGTTTTCGTATATTTTCAACAAAATGTTAGGAGTAGAACAAGATTCCCTTACCTTCAATTCTTCCATTTATAACACCAAAAGGAATTGTTTGAGACCCTAAAAAGTATATGATCAGTGACGAGTTGAGTTGATTTGGCCATGTCCGTTTGTCCGTCTGCATATACGCAAACTAGTCTCTAGACCCCTTTCACCTCAAGAAACTGTTTATGTGTCGAAATCACCGATATCCGACCACTATAGCAAATAGCTGCTATACAAAACTAATCCATCAAAATCAAGCCTTTGTATATTGAAACTTTTTCATTTTACAAGATATCTTTGCCTATATAGCATATAGTTGCCATACAAACTGAACGATAGGAATCAAGTTCTTGTACCGAATCTTTTGTATTATTGCTTCGGTGCAACCGACATTAACGTGTTTTGTTGTTTAAATATATTTAAAACATCTTCTTCTTCTTCATAAAAACATTAACGAGCAATAGGGAGGAGAGCTTCTAGACATTTGCTAGCGTATTACTTCCAAGTAGACTAAACGAATCTCTTTTTCCTTTCTAGGTAGTTTAATTGCGGTAGCTTTTAATAACTTTGTACTAAGTATTTTCTACTTTATTATGTTGCTAATATCAATTTTGTAACATTTACTATTTCTTTACGCCTAAATGACTTTATTTTTCCCTGTTCAATAAAATGGTTGCCTCTAATCAACCGTATGTGTATGCTTTGCAAACAAAACTGACAAACGATTCACATACATATGAAAACATACAAAATCACATTTACATATCTCACTATACTATCTCATATTGTTACAACTTTTTTGTACACTACCTTGCAACAGCTTAGCGGCGGTAAAATGTGCTTCCGCCAAACAGCAAAGCTTTCCTGTAACTCTCAACATTATCATTACCACTCTCACCTATCGCTTTCACTCTCACTTTCACTATCACCTTTGTTGCATCTTTTTATTGTTACTATACATCCTCAGTTAGTTGTGATCAGTTTTGTTATTTAAGGCGTTTGCCAATTATTTGAGTTTTTTAGTCTTTTTACTTAATTTTGATTTAAAACAATTTAGAAAATGAGCAAATTTACTTTTTCAACTCCATCGCCAATTCTTATAAAAAAAAACAATCAAGGGGTTACTATTTTAAATATGAGGAGGACGAGTTACTTCCAAAGCAGGAGGAGCGCATTTGGCGACCCCGTAGTTTTCACTACGACAACGTAGCGGCGGCAATGCTGACGCTTTTCGCTGTACAGACTGGCGAAGGATGGCCACAGTAAGCAAACTCTATGAAAACTAACTGTACAATATGTATTATTATCGAATACTGCGAAGATATATAGTCATAAGTAGTTATTTGCTCGAAATATTGCTAGTAACTAGATGAATAATGCATATACATATATATATATTACTATTACAATTCACCTTACTGTATATTGAATATTATAGCCAATTAATTGTTATAATAAATATTCAAAATTTAATAGAGTTCTACAACACTCAATGGCTGCCACGTATGAAGATAGGGGTCCCATACAAAATTTCCGGATCGAAATGTCCATATTTTATATTGTGTATTTCATTGTATTTCCATTCTTCTTCGTGAATATATTCGTGGCCTTGATTATCATAACATTTCAAGAGCAAGGCGAGGCTGAGTTACAAGATGGTGAAATTGATAAAAACCAGGTGAGCTACATTAACTAATTTAATAGCCAAATAATTTACGTATATGTGTGTTGTAAAGCAGTTTGTTTACAAATGTTGCCACCTTAATCTAGAGCATAGTGTCAATGTTGTGAATAAAACGCAATTTGGTTTCTTGTATGTTATCATCCAAATACAGACTTCTTCAAATATATTTTACGTTGTGCATACTTAACTGCTTAATGTGTCAATGAACTTTTAAAAGTGTATATATAAAACTTAGATTTTATACACAACGCTTTTTAGACCAAACTTCATTCAATAGAATAGTTTAGTAATTAGTATAGTCACAAGACACTACATCCAGTACACATCACCACTCCCAAATTCACACAAAATTTAAATATTTCACGCCAGTGATTTAGATGTACCAGTACTAATATATAAAACAAATGCTAAATATTCATTACAAAGAAAGTACCGCTAATCGATTTTCAGCTTTCACATTTAAAAAATACGAAAGTCCTGAATACTACTTAGCCACCACTAGGGACACATTTCACTATAATAATTCAAATTAATCTCTGTTACGAACTTTCGGGGCTTTACCACAGCGTTTTTAATTTTATACATAGCTTTAGGACTGGAAGCTAATAACACTCGAAAGCATTTTTTGGAACTACAACCCGATAGTCCTTCAGAAGCTAGAATATATGTCAATTTTAATGAATATATATAAATGTTGTACATTTACCGGAAATTGATAATATCAGATCGTGTATTGCAAAGCATTTAAAATATCAAAAATTAAAAGCTGCTGCAAACACTCTTACATGGTTGGATATGCATAAAACATAAACATCACTTAAAATAACAAATAATACTATAGTTTTAAAAAAATATTATATTATATTTCTACGATTCTTATAATACCATATTTTATATTTAGAAGTAGACACGCTTGCGTTAAGTTATAATAATGACTTATAATTAGTTATCCTACATTCGCTAGCTTTCACAATGCAGTATTGGCCAGCTATATCACTACTTAGTAAGGGATATCATGTTCTAATGAAATTAAACAGGATTTCAGAACATAAATATTACATGAATCTTTTTCTTGCATTACATTACACATTATTTAGTCTTTTAACGAAAGTGACGATGGAATTACAGTGCGCCACTAAAGTCATGTTGAGAAAGCTGAAGCTTTTTCTTATAGTTTACTTATAAATTAAGAAATAGTTTAATGATTACCAATTCGATTCCACAAAACTCGTGATAAATTTTTCAATTTCGTAAATTTACCAATAATTAATAATGTTACATTATTTTTAATAAATAGTGGGTTATCCATTCATTATTATAACTTCGATAAGTCGTGTAGGCATTGATGAAACTAATCAATGGGGTTGAGATTCAGATTCTGCGGAAGCGGTTTTAGCAGATGTGGAACATTATACAATAATCAAAGCCAGTTCTTTACTGTAGTGTGCTTTGGGTCATATCTTGGAAAAAGTAAAAGGATATACATCTTATAGTTCATCATACCTTCAATAAATTCTATGCTTCCGACCTCTGCAGACTCCATACAACCCCAAACCATCATATCTCTTCTTCCATGCTTAACAGTTTTCAATGTGAATTTGGGGCTGTAAGCATCTGTAGGCCGCCGAAAAACTTTGTAACGTCCATCTTACCTCAATATATTATATATATTTAGACTCGTCAGCAAATATTACTTGGCACCAGAAATCTTACAGGATACTTTTTATATTTTTTGGCAAACTCAAGTCGTTGGGAGTATATTTTTCTTCGACACATGGGTTTTTCCCTTGGTGTATATGAGCCAAGTTTTCTCTCTTTTATTATTCTGCGATTAGTTTCTGCTGGCACGTCTTTTTGAAGTGTTTGGCTAAAAACTCCACAAAATTTAATCGCAGTTTGAAACGGGTCTTTTTGAATTATTCACCTTATTGAAGATTTTTTGCGATCATCGAGATTTGCCGGGCGACCACTTCTTGGATTATTTTCAACCTGACCCTAAGTTTTACTGCGACCAACATTATGTTGAGTAGTGGATAGGTTTCTGTACAAGATTTTACATATTTCTGAATGTGATTTTCTCTCTTTAACATGAAAATTTTAAATTATTTTATGTTTCACTAATGTGACCTCTTTACGCGGCATTTTGATAAGCAAATAGTAAACTTAGTCATCCGAAAAGTTATGAAATGCAAAAGAAGGAATAACAAAAGATAGAAATAAAGTAACGTTGCCAAAATAAAAATAGATCGTTATAAGTGCACATTATCAAACATGTGTTTTATAACTATTAAGGTAATTTGGAATTTGGGAAATATTTGAGTTTTTCTTTATTTATAAGTGAACTATAAGATAAAGTTTAAGTTTTTCTTCTATTTTCATAAACACACGTGTCAAGAATATCATGTGTTCATGTTTTATTTTTTTTAAAAATTAAAAAAGCGATTAATTCACAAATAGAGTTGAAATCACGTGCTATATCATGGCTTTAGTGGCACACCTGGCTCATTCTGTTCTTCCTGAGTCTATAAGCACTTTGCAATTTTAAGAAGTGATACCTCGGTTAAGGTGTGGATAGGTATTGAATTATTTTACCAGATTTGCATTTAATTTTTTTTAAACAAAAATTACAGAATACTTTGAACCGAATAACTTTGATAAAAAATAATTAAGTATACTTAAAGTACTCATTTATAAAAATAAAAATATTGAAAATTTTAACACATTCGTAAATATTTATTATTAATAATTTAAGAAATATCCACACATTTTAGCTATTATTCCAAAATGTTAATATATAAGGTATCGAGTAGGCAGATAATGTACTCCTCATTTCAGAAATTCCCAGTTATTCAAGTCGAGTTTAGCAATTAACTCTTGTCGGCACTAATATGTATGTATACACTGACATCACATTTCGCTATATAATAGTTCTAATCGTAGGGACAATATAAACAATTTGTGTTCTATATATTATGTAAGAGTACTTCTTTATGAATATGTACATATTGTATATGATTTACAAACCCATCTTTACATTAAGAATCACATTCTTCCTTGTATTTTTTATATATTTATATTATTTATTTTTGTAGCAAAATTCACAAATCAATGCATGATATGTGGCCTCCAATGTACTATTTCCTTCCAAAACTTATTACAGTATTTGCTGATTAAAAATGTTTCGTAATTACAGAAATCCTGCATAGATTTCACGATAGGCGCTCGGCCGCTCGAACGATATATGCCCAAAAATCGAAACACGTTCAAGTACAAAGTCTGGCGCATTGTAGTCTCGACGCCATTTGAATATTTTATAATGATGCTAATTGTGTTCAATACTTTACTGCTTATGATGAAGGTAAGTAGAAGTGCATGTACATATATTTCGTACCCTTTGAAATTTATTAACTTACTTATATAGTTATAAACATTGTGTATTTCGTTAGGGATATTAATTTTACTTATTTTTGCTGATGGGTAGTGTTGATTGACATTATAAAGTAAATTTCGTAACAAAAAAATATATATTGCATCTAGTTTTGCTAATCTAATAAAAAATGCAGGTATAAATGGTACGAGTACTTAAGTTCGTACTCAATTAATGCTGTCGAATACACATACAGTCTACATTGCATTACAAGGAGCACACACAAACAGAAGAGAAGAAGATTTTTATGAACAAACAGTTTGAAAGTGAAGTTTGAAAAAAAAAACTATTACATAACTGCGTGTTGGTGTTGAACAATAAATGCAAACCATTAAATACTTGTTTGTGTAAATTTTGCATGTAAAAATGAAATACAATAGTTTATAAATTCAAAAACAATTTGTTTCCTTACAGTCGTTTTTGTTTACTCATCACTGCACCGACGTGTTTCAATTTATTTACCTTAAAGTTTTTTATAAATATTTAAGTAATTATGGTGAACTCTTTTAGTGTTGTCATTTTTAATGCCAATTTCATAAGTGTGCCATAACTTTGTGATATTCAAGTTATAGAAAAAACATATTTTTAGCCGCATAAATGGCAAGAGCATACCAATTTATAAAAAATATACTTATTGGGCGAGAATTGATTGTTAAAGAATGAAAAATTATAAGGTGTGTATATTCGATAGTGGGTAAAAACCCGTTTTTTTGTGATTTGCCAATTTTGAAAATCCACCAATTCTCTTTCAGCTTGAGAAAAATGCGTAAAGCGGATACTTTGATATTTCGGAGTCTTTAAATTTTGGTTATTCCTTAATATTTATAATACTTAAAGCCAATTTTATTTGCATAACAATTTAATTTTTCCCTGTAAAAATTTCGACCTCAAACTTTTTATACTTTTCCTATACACCGCGTTTTCCGGATTTGGCTCTCAGTAGACTTTTCCTGTCCTCAGAGCTCAAGAAAATGTTCGCCGAAAATAAAACGTGCTATAAAAATGGTATCGATGTTGAATAATAAAATTAAATTTTGACCAAAAGCTATTTTCAAACAATACAAAGCTTCAAATAGTAAATGCCTGTAAAATAACAAAAAATGGTAGTTTGGTTTGTTTAGGGAGCTCTTTAGATTTTACATGAACGTTATTATGTAAATAAATACTATTACACTATTATAAAATAATTATCATGCAACTCTCTGTAAGTTTATGTCAATATCTACTTACTGTTTAAACATGCCATCTTCATTTTAATTTATATTCTATATTTTCGTATTTTTTGGAAATTTCAAACTAGAAATCATTGGTTTACACATTTTGCTTATACTAAACAATAAAAAAAAACTAATAATACATTTCTGCAGTATCATAACCAAGGTGAAATGTATGAGAAATCACTTAAATATATCAACATGGGATTCACGGGGATGTTCAGCGTTGAGACTGTACTGAAAATCATTGGATTTGGCGTTAAGGTAGGTGGTTTGCACGAATGCTCTTGTATCCATAAGCAGCGATACAGTTCTTCACTGTAGGAGCTGAATTAAATATAAAAATTGTTGTAAATGTTCCATTAAACTATTCTCAGCATAGTATTGACGCTTTAAGCTTGCATTCAGCTGAAATTTACAATGTAAAGTGTGTGTAATCCACGTGCAGGATTCATTATTTTTATAAACTATTTATCGCAGTTCAGATAAGCCGGTCCAAAACATGAACAGGTAAGCTTTATATGGCACCATGGCATGTTAATAATTTTTCTTTAGTACTATTTATTGTCTTGAGTCTGCTAATAACTCCTAACAAAAAGCATGTGAATACAAAATTAAGCTTTGGTTATTGTGATGCACGACATTAAGCACACATTTACATTCATCTCTTCTGAAATAGCATTTTTGGATTTTTTAGAATTTTTAGCAAGATGTAAAAATAATTATGTGTACATGTGTCCAAAAGTGCACAAAAACAAGCCTTTTTCGATTTGATTCGATCAAATTAACATAATAGAGAATAGGGTAATAGTGTAACCGCTTAATTTCTGACTCTATTTGAATACCCCAACCCATTGCATCTTTGTTCGTTTCACCACTCTCCAGGTTTGCCGATTCTAAACCACCTACTATTGCAGATTCATTACCCACTAATACTTTGTTAAAGCTTGTCAATTTACGGTATAGACTGCAATAATTTCAAAAAACCTGGTTTCAAAATATATATATATTTTATGTTTTCCCCAGAGTTTCTCTTAAGGAAAAAAAAACCAATCCTTTAATTCTATCAAAAAGAGCTGAAGGGTAAATAATGGTAAGTCTATGACCATTTCCATTTTTGATAATCAAACAAGTTTTACCCCATTAATTTCCCTTAACAACATCCCTATACAAGTTGACCTAAGTTACAAACTTTGATTGTATGATTTTTCTATATGTGGATAATAAAATTCTCTATGGATTTATATTTAAGGCAGCCATTTAAGAAATACTAGTTCATTATGGCTTGTTTTACTCACAGTATTATTTCAAAATGAAACACAGACCAAAGTTTTTGCCTTCGGAGTAACAAGCAAAAATATATTTGCAAATTAAGGCAAAGGCAGTAATAATAAAAATAGGAATAACCATATTGCAATTCGTTTAGGACTTAGTGACATCATGAATCAAAGAAAATGAACAAAGAAACACAGTTCGTCTCCTGTACTCCATTATTTTTGAGGTAAAAGGTATATTTACATTTACATCTGTTTTCTTTTATTATATGTACAGAATTTCTTTTATTTGTTATAACCATGTTTTTGTACTTTAACCGATTATATATAAAATTCTTGTATGCACCATTTACGTATTTAGTAAATACAGACTTTTGCTGTAGTGTTGCATTGCAAATAAACATTCACATACGAGTATAATCACATTCCCAACATAAATGAAAAAATTTATAAAAAGCTTGTACCAAATAATAAGCTAATAAATAGCTCTATTTTTTTAGAATACACTAAGCTTGAAACACTAGATTATACACATATCAATAACATATATTAGATCTTTGCGGAATTTGGGTCTGTTTTTTCACAAAGTTAAGAAAAATTTAAGAACAATCCATCAGAAATATTGGAATAGTATAACAACGTTTACATAACATAGTTTAGCAGTTTTATCTTAATTTCATTAAGAAAAAGCTAAAGAAATACTTTAAAACAAATTATAAAATGCCTGCAGCCCACTTAATTATTTGTTGGTTGATTTATTAGTTTGTCTTAGTATTAATTACTTCAGGCGTTTCAGTCTGTCTTCTTACATTTGATTTTGTATCTGGAAATACGCATTATAAAATATAAAAATAAATAATTTAACCTTTTTAATTTTTAGTCATATTCAGACTGATTGCAGCTCTTTACGTTCTAAGACAATATTATTCAAAAATACGCATCCTCTATACGAAACCAAATGTAAGCTTGGCAGTTTAATTATTTCTTTAGTAAAAAACTTTATATCATCCTCCTATACAGTTGATTCATAGATGCTCATATTTTTTCTTTTCCCTTTCCCAAAAAAAATAAACAAAAATCATGTTGTTGATGATATTTTTCTGTAGTTTCATGATGCACCGCCAACTCATAGTGATATATTGACCTACATGAATCTGGTATTCACATTATTCTTCTTTTTGGAGACAATAGTAAAAGTAATAGCGTTTGGATGTACGGTAGGTAGCGCATTCGCCTAATTCAGTTTAATGGAGTAAGCAATACTGCATTTACTGCATTTGCTTAGTATTAAATAAGTCAAAAATAAAACAAAGAAAAAAAAAACAACAACTAATACAAGTATGTACGTGTCGAAGCATTTCCATTATGAGGAGCTCCAACACTTGGAAAACCGCCATTGTAAATTTCAGCCATTGCTAGGGCTTATACATACCACACTTACATATATTTGTGAAGTGGTTTGTACTTGCGCTTATGAAGTTTTTTTAACTGTTTTATAAAACACACTTTGTTTAACAGTAATTGCGTTCCATTGCAGAACTTCTTCAAGGATCCGTGGAATATTTTCGATCTGATCACCGTTGTAGGCAGTATTGTCGATGCGCTTTGGATGGAGTTCGGGGTAATTATTGCACAATTATATACACACTTACGCAGCGTATTAATATGCTTAGCACTGTTAGCATTTTAAGTTATTATATTTCAAGCTATTGTCGAAAAATATAATTCATACAAATAGTAAATAATTACGATTTCGAAAACGGATGCTATGTTAGCTTTGAATATTGTCGTTAAGCAAGTTATGCATTTCAAGAATTATAATTATATATGCCTATATACATACATATATTATTTAATAACTTTTAACTATAACTGCCATATTGAATGATTGTGTTCTGACGTTAGATTTAATGGCAAGAGAAGTATTAACAAACACATTAGGGCGACATGTTATGGCGTAGTTTCTAAGTTACTACCACTCGCTGCAATATGCATATATGTATAGCCATAATTATATAATTTAATGTATAACTAATAACTTATTGAAACTCTTGTTTGATGAGTCGCGCAATTAATGAGTGTTAACGTTTCTTAATTACGAAGTGTTATGCAACTACGCAATTTATTATGAAACACATAAAGTAATAATATAGGATTAAATGAAAGGTGATGTCTATCTACTATGTTTTAAAAATTAAGTATGAAAAATTATTTTCATATATTTTGAATATTCGAAGCGTTGTCAACGTAAGTAAATCGTCATAGTTGCAGTAGGAATACTTTCTCTACGTATCTGAGTCAACGCCGTAATTTACGTATTTTCTTTAAGCAAGCACTTGCAATAATTCTTAAGTCAATTTAACACATACATATGTGTATATAACATTACTATGTATATATATTTTTACAATGAATCACCGCGATAATTAATAATCATATATCTTTTAATTTTCCTTTTTCACATTTTATTTATGTACCATTACACAAAAATGAAACCAAATACGAAATGGCGACCCATAAAAACTAAACAAAAAAACTTTTAAAAAATTACACAAAAACCCTACTTGAAAATACTTTTCATTCAAAATTAATTTTCGAAACATAAACCCCAAAACACAAAAAATTTCACAAATTTGCCAACATACAACATCGAATATGTACACGACATATCGAAACCAATTAAAAACTCCAAATACACACGTACACGAATATTTCTACAAATATTGTCCTTTTCTCTGTGTAAACAAATATGTATTATTCAAAACGAACAAAAAATGCTTAAAACTATTAAAAACTTCTTGTATTTTAAATTTAAAATTTTTGCTGTCGTTTAAAAATTCTCTTTCATCAAACGAAACATAAAACCAAACAATTCGTTGAAACCTACCAACATTTGCAATCACAACAACATTCAAATATCAATCAATAAAAACCTAATCTGAACAACTATCCTCTACAAATACTTATCTACTACAACTACAACTAAAATTACAACACCAGCACGATGTAAGTACAAAACACTTATTACACTAATACGATAACCATAACATTGTTTTTGTATTTGTAAAATTTTACATGTGTTTTTATTGTTAAAAGTCCTCTTTCGACATATGCTTTATTGCCGCCGTGCCTTTAATTAATTTCCTTTAAATGTGTATTTATAAATTTTTAGTTTAGAATGCTGTAAGCCTGACGTGTTGATTGCTACTAATCCTTCGCTTTAAAACTATTCGCTGCCAATTGAAATACTCGAGAGTAAATCGAGTTTCTTGGGAAATTTCTTGTTCTTAAATGCCTAAATAAGTGCGTTCTTCACTGTTCCTAATAAAAGTCATTCCCGTTAGCTTATTGTGGAGCTACATTGTTAGGTCGTCATTAAATTTTAGTGCAATATGTGACGGCTTGAAAGTAATACGGGTTTCAAACGATGCATTAAAAAATAATTGATTTGCATTTGAATCACATTTTTATTTTTTAATCCCGATTTTGGGATTAAAATTGAGATTGAGAAACCACAATGCCAAAGTCCTTAGTCCTTTCATTTCTTTATTTTATATGTGAAAATAAACTTAAACTGTGTGCTCAAAAATTAAATACAAAAACTTGTTCTAGACTTTCTATCGTTTATTCTAATTTTAGTGATTGAAAATACAGGTTTCATCCGAATTAAATTTCATGCAAATATTAAGTAGTGTTTGTTGAGAGTTTTAGAAGGAAAGTTGGTTTATTCTTTAAAAGCTTTTTAATTAGCTTATGTTTGGCACAATTCCATTACCACTGGCTGGAATTAAATGAGTTCGCAGTTTCCTTCCATGCTAAACACTCATTTCGGCCCCCTTTCTCTAACTTGCCAGACGGTTGAGCTTCGTTCTTCATTTGGCTTAAATAATTTCCTTTGTCAATATACTAACAGGGCCCTCTTCGTTTGTATTTAATTTTAGTTATACATTGTTTGTAATTTCACTAATGCATCCCAATATTTCTATACAGAAAAACACCAAATTAAAACAATAATATTTGTTCACATTTCTAATTACATGTAAACCGTAAACAGTATCCGAGAACTAACTTATTCTACAAGTTTTATGTGTATATTTTGCTTTTATTTTCATATTTTTATTTGTGGAGTGCTCTTACAAGTAACTATTGAGATTTCCAACTTACTTCTATACAAACTTACTTAAATAACTACTTGCTTAACTACAATTTATGCTATATTTGGGTTTATCTACGAAAAGTTCTAAGTCTAAACTTTTGCTGTAAGTAGAACCAAAACAACGAAACATTTACAAAAACCATTTCATTTCCCCTTTTAAACGATCAACACACTTTATGTTTGCCTTTTTGGAACAAGTATTTGTTAAATAATTAAATTGGTGAAAAAATAATAAACAAAATTAATTGAAAAATATAATGTTTCAGGATACAAATCATGCTAATAATTCTTATGAAAACTACATTAAAAAGAATAAAAATTGCGTAAATAATTGTCGTCAGTATAGTAAATACAAACACATACATTACAATGATCTGTCTTATACTAATTTGAAAAACTTTTGAAATTTTATATTTTGACTTTACAAAACACGCATTCCCACCGCCAACATTATCAAAACAACATTACCATTATTCAACCAAATATATATGTATACACGTATATCTGTCACTTGTCACCGCAAATGGTTTTTGATTTAAATTACCACCATTAAATGATAAACATCCTGCTTGAAAACCATACGAACTAAACTTAAAATTGGAATAAAAATCAAAACCCGGAAACCAACTGTTTTCGACACCACAAAATGATACTTGCATACCACATGCGAATGGAATTTCAAACGCTTCGTTTTACTATATGAACATCATTTAATTTAAAACAAAAAACCTTACAAATAATTTTGCATCACACTTAAATGTCGCTGCAACAATTCTACAACCACAAAATAATGCTAACCACAACTCCACCACCACCACTACCACCTAAACCATTGATACTATATTGCCACCGTTTTCACCACGCCCACCATACCCATTGCCACTACCACAATCACACCACAACAACGCAATTGATAATCAAATGTAACAGGCAACTGAAGCAACTGTAAGTAGTCCTGAAAAGTATTGTCTCATTTTTCCAATATTCATCAGTAAATAAAAAACTAAAAATATGTTTGCCAAAAATAACAATATACCTTTACGTTTTCTACTTTTGTATAAAACTTGAACGAAAGCCATGGGGAAATGCCGTTACTTTTGTATCATTCCATACTATGTTGCTTTCTCTCTCTCTCTCTTGTATTCAAATTTTCAATTCGCTAATTAGTTTTTCTATCATAATTTAAAAATATAAAAAATTATACGAAAGCACACAATGCAAAGATAAAATTAAATTGAAATTTGATATGGAATACGAAGTCTGCCGCAGTTTTCGTTTATTCAAAATGCTTACCACTTTCTGTTCTTCGCTTATTGAATTTATTGCTTGAGATAAAATAGTTAATACATTTTTTTTTTTAATGAAAACTTTTGAATATAACAAGTCCAACTGTCTTACAGCCAATTAGTTCGTTACTATTCGTTGCTTTTTGCTATTTGTATGTCAACTTGGAGTACTTTGTTTTTTCTTTTGTTTAAATAAAATTGTTGTAATTAGCTTTTCAAATCACGCTCACTTGAAAGTTTCATGCAAACCAAATAATTTTTAAACTCTTGAGTAGTTGAAAAGATGAATTGAACATCTGCCAAACTGCTTTCAGCCAACACCTCATTGTTACTTTGAAAGCTCACCACGTACAACTAAAACCGCTTATACTAATACCTTCACCTTTTCCTACACTATCTCTTGTCGATTATTTTATTTTAGTTGCATTTTTGTTTACTCGTACATTGAAATAAAGTTAAAATACTATACACTCTCACGCTCATTATAAGTAGTTAATAGCTATCTGGCATGATTTAATAATATTATATAATTAAGTTCCGTTGAATTTGCTATGCAAACCTTATATATGTAGGTAGAGTCTACACCCATTCGAGAACAATTTGTGTATACGAAAGAAGAAAATTCACTTACTATTAAAATCAAAAAAAGCTACATGCCTGAGAAAAACGAAAGTGATAAAAGTAGTACTTGCTATATAGCGCGTTTTGGTACTAATTGGAAGTATGAATTTGATACGTTTATGATTTGAGTGTACGTTATTCCAATGTGCGCAAATCAAATTTACCATAACCGTGTTACATTAAACTACATCAAATTAGGATAACTCACTTTGTCTCCTCTAAACTGGAAGCAGATATTTTTCATTAGACATGATGAAGTCAGACAGGAGTCAATATATGTAGTTTGTTGTAAAAATTTTACAAGATAATCCTAATGAGTATCGAAACTAAAGACCAAATACTTCCCCAGAATATTTACGTGACTGACTTAGAGCTGATAACGGTTTTGCACTTGGGCTGTGTACCACACGGTAATATTTTTATCTGTGTTGAGTTGGGGTAAAAGATTTCCTATGTTGTAAACAAGCTTTTCATTTTGCTGTGCCAATGGAAAGTAAAATTTTGACAATTGAAATTCAAAACAATCGCAATTGCCTCGTTTGAATATTTGTCCTGGTA